AACTGCTATAATTATGAATGGGTTAAGCCTTCCCCCTAATCCTCTAGTGGCTGTCTCATTGACAGCCACTAGAGGCGCTTGCGTGCTTCTCACTGTGAAAATCACAGTGAGAGCACGCTAGCGTCCATAGGAAAGCATTGTAAATGCTTTCCTATGAGACCGGCTGAATGCGCGCGCAGCTCTTGCCGCGCGTGCGCATTCAGCCGGCGGGGCGTAACGGAGGCGGAGAGGAGGAGGAGAGCTCTCCGCCCAGCGCTGGAAAAAGGTAAGTTTAAACACCTTTCCCCCTTCCAGAGCCGGGCGGGAGGGGGTCCCTGAGGGTGGGGGCACCCTCAGGGCACTATAGTGCCAGGAAAACGAGTATGTTTTCCTGGCACTATAGTGGTCCTTTAAGCAGATAAAAAAAAAAATTGTGTTTGTAAATCAGCTTACCTATTTGGAATTTGAAAGCAATATAATGGTTTTTGCTTTGAGCTTTTTGACACATCATATTGTCTTTATAGTTGATCTTGCTGGAGTCTTCACTTTCAAAATTATTTGTGCTATTATTGATACTGGCATTTTATTCTTAAAGTGGTACTGTCACTGTGTGTTTGTGAGATCTGCAAATTAAAATTAAATGTAGAAATTAACATTACAGTGGAAACTCTGAACTCAAACTTAAAGGGACACAATAGTCACCAAAACAACTTTAGGTTGATAAAGCAGTTTGGATGTATATATCATGCCTCTGTAATTTTACTGCTTAATTCTCTGCCACTTAGGAGTTAAATCACTTTTGTTTCTGTTTATGGAGCCCTAGCCACACCTTCCCTGGCTGTGATTGACGCAGCCTGCATGAAAACAAAAAAGTTTCATTTTCAATCTGATGCATCTAAATGTAAAAGTTTTTATCTCCTGCTTTGTAAATTGAACTTTAATTACATACAAGAGGCTCCTGCTTGGTTTAGCAAGCTATTAACACATCAGGAGATGAGAAATTCTAAGTTAAACATAATTTAAAATAAAAGAAGTGTAAACATTAGATGACTCTTTACAGGAAGTGTTTAGGAATGCCATGGAAGGCACATGCAGGGTGGTGTTACTAGGGTTGTATAAACAAAGTGATTTAACTCCTAAATTGCAGTGAATTGAGCAGTGAGACTGCAGGGGCATGATGTATACACCAAAACTGCTTCATTAAGATAAAGTTGTTCTGCTGACTATAGTGTCCCTTTAATCCGTTTCAGAAAGCTGTTCGAGTTCCGATTTGTTTGAGAACCGAAATTACATTTCCCATAAGAATTAATTTAATTTTGATTAATCCATTCCAGACCCCCCAAATTACAGCATTTTGACACAAATATTATAGTATAATAATGCCTTACATGCATAAAATAAAAAAGGAATATAATAATAAACACAATGTACAGTAAATGAAATGAAAATATATCTTCACTTTACCTGTAATAATGAGAGTTGATGGCGTAAGTGGAAAGGAGAAGCGATATTATTTTTGAATGGGGATACGTAACTGTTCTTCTGGCCATTAAAATGTGTCTAAAGTGTGTCTAATTGAACATGTTTGTGGCATGATTTGTTTGGGTACCGGGATCGTTCACGTAATGAGACATTTTTTCGACTTCCGAATTGTTTGAGAATGGGACCGTTCAAGGTTCCACTGTACTGTATCTACCATCATCCCCTGCTATTAAACAGCACAGAAAGTCTCAATCGGACATATCATTCTGATTGTCAGTGAATGGACTCTACCATTTCTTTGTCAGCATTACATTAGCAGTCCAGAGATTGATAAACATTGCTATAACAGTTTTAAATACATTTATTTTATAAACCTATGATTTAACTGTATTTACAGTATGTGTACATTATGCTCGGATGCAGACATTCTTTCTACATTCTGTTGCCATTCTGTTTTGTAAATTGTATTGCTAGTAATGCATTCAGGGTACTTGTAAATACCTATAAGTAAGGTATTTGACCATTTTTATTTATCTATTTTGTCACACCTACTGTATGTGGAAAAAAGTGTTTTTTCTTTTATACTTGCACTTCAAACTTTGAATGACATATTGCAAGATAAAGGACGCCTTGTACTGTTTTAAGCTGTTCATTTCCCAAATATTGTTATAAAGGATGAATGAATGAATGAGTGAAATATAAAAATAATGTACATTTGTATAATGTAAATTTCTTTGTCTGTAAAAATTGCTGTTCTGATATGTTCACATGCTTCCTATGAATCCCTTGTTTCAAATAAATGTTATGCTAATATTTTTTCAATCAAAAGTACTTGGTAGTGAATGAGGTTAAATAAATGATACATACAAAAATGCATTTTACCTTTTCACTGAAAGTTAGAAAAATCATACAGGGTTTTTAAAGTGAGAATTGTTGAACTAGAAGCATAGTCAATTGGGAGTTTGTTTTTTTCCAGTTCTGCTATGTTTGCCTTATATTTCATTTTGAATTCCTGACAATTCTCACTTTAGTAAATAACTATGATATTTTCAAGTCATCTATAAAATGGTCAATTTATACAAGTGAACCAAAGGTGACCGAAAATATCCCTTCCAAAAATAGTGATATACACCAAACCAAAGTGCTCTATACCCCCTGAAAAAACAAAATTGCGTAGGTAACACAAAGTAAAAATTGCTGCACGCTGTTTATGTCCAACAATTTTTATGATGTGGGATCTATAACATTGTGGGAGAATCTGTATACGTTTTACCTTCAATTAAATGTTTACTGTATCTTTTATTCAGTGTCTGAGGCATGTTTTTTGATTCATTTCTCCCTGTAACTGAACTTCTTCAGTTGAACGAAATTTGATGGCGCCCACTGATGAGCCTGGCTCATCAGGTCCTACCATAGTGGGATTTTGATTGTGTTAAATTCCCAGATTATGTCTTATTATGTCTTTGATTGTGTCATATTATTATCAATTCCCTTAGGTCTTATCACTGCTTGATACCATCTGAGAGCAACTGTACATTTTTGAAGCTAATCAAAACTTAAACTTTACTTCTCACTAGTCCTCAATTAACTAATGTATTATAGGGATAGGTTAAGCACTAAAATCCTATCATCTAAATACATTTTGGGACATAAATGCTGTCCCTATAGCCTAGCAAATGAAAACAGTTTTTATTTTTTGCAATTTCCTTAGTTGACAGATAGCCATTAGGGGCTTCCGACAGAAACTGATTCAATTATTAAATCTATCTGATATTCTGCCAAAGTATGAATTCTGGCAAAAGCATAATATTCACAGATATAATATTTAATATATTAATTAAAGGACCACTATAGGCCCCCACACCACTTCAGCTCAATGAAGTGGTCTGGGTGCTAGGTCCCCCTAGTTTTAACCCTGCAGCTGAAAACATAGAAGTTTCAGAGAAACTGCTATGTTTACACTAAGGTTAATCCAGCCTCTATTGGCCGTCTCCCTCACGGAGTCCAGTGTCAAATAAGATCCCCATAGGAAAGCATTGAGTAATGCATTGAGTAATGCTTTCCTATGGGCAGGTTTGAATGCGCGCGCGCCTCTGGCCTCACATGCGCATTCGGCTCCACTTGGGAGCTGACGTCGGCTGGGAGGAGAGGTTACTAGCGCTGAGTGAGCCCGGCGCTGGATTAAGGTAAGTGGCTGAAGGGTTCAGCGCTAAGGGGCGGGGGGACCTATTAACCCTATAGTGATAGAAAAGCGGGTTTGTTTTCCTGGCACTATAGGATCCCTTTAACAGCTTCTTAAAGCGACACTGTTATGCCAAACTCCTTTCTCCTGTTGTTTCCTCTTCTGTTCCTCTCTCAGAATCTGTTCTTCTTTTCTTTATTTCTGATCTAGATTTCTTTAAAACCTAAGACAAAATAGGGACTACTTTGTCTTGTGTATTTTTCCTGTGCTTGACTTTCTTTGACCAAAGGAGGAGCTTAAGTCAGTTCCATTTGCTGTGTCAAGGAGAAGGGTGAGTACTTTCTCTGACACAGGAAATGAAGCGGACTTAAGCGCCTCCTTTGGTCAAAAAAAAAAGCAAAGCGTAGGAAAAATACATAAGACAAAGTAGTCCTTAGTTTGTCTTAGGTTTTAAAGAAAACTAGATCAGAAATAAAGAAAAAAAGAACAGATTCTGAGAGAGGAAGAGAAAGGGAAACAATAGGATAAAGGTAAGTTCGGCACAACAGTGCTGCTTTAATTCAAGGAGAGATCTCAGTACCATTTTGAGGATGAGAAGATATTTTTTTCCTAGTTTGTTGCAAAATTGGAAAGAGCTTAAAACTGGATTTTTGGATCAATAGCAGAAACAGATGTGAGAAAGACTGAATTTAAAGGATGCAAGTCTTTATTCAGCCTATGTAAGTATGCTGACGCCTGATGCCTTGTGTGCCCAGTGCTTGTTTATGAGAACCAGTGTCTTTAAGGCAGTAACTTCAGTGCACAATGCCATGTGTCTTCAGTACTTCTCTAGGTGAAGCATCTGATTGGACAAACATCATCCATTTTGTCACCATATGAAGATCTGGTCTCTTGCATTTTTTTATTTTTTATTTAAATAAAGAAGGTATACCAAAACAAAACAAAACAAAAAAATCACATCTAATGCAAAACTGTATTTCTATTTATAGTGTTCTTTAAAATAAAATAAGACGAGTCATCCTAATCAGTGTAATATTATTTTAAACTGGCAAATTAAGCATTACTTAATTTACTATTATTATTTTATTTATTTATATTCTTTTCTACATTTATAGTCTTCCTATAAACAGCGCGATTCTGCTTAATATTTTGGCACCCATGTTTGTCAAGCTTGTCCACTATACCTTCTTACTATTGCATTTTGTTATACATATAAGCAAATAACCACTTGCCTGGGATATATAGAAATAATTTAGCACAATAATATCACCAAATATGATTTTATTTCACGGATTTATTTCGTTTGTGATCCTTTCTCACTGGCAAGTCTGAAAAAAATATTCATTGCTGCTGCGTTGCTTTGTCTATATGTCGCTCAAATGAAGTTTCAATGAAGCCTTAAACAGAATTAAATGAATTGTGTAACTGCTGAACAATACTAAAGTACTGTTTTGCGGCAATAAAATAATCAACTAAAAATAGAGGAAAGTGTTATAACGAGAAAATTAAGGGCTTAAAGGATCGTCTGTAATGAACATAAAGCAATTGATGGTATGATAGAGTAATTATTTTCGTATTTACATCATTAACGATTGTAATTTAACGTTAATGTCTTGGTATTTTATGCCTTCTCATTTGCAGACAAAAGCACATCTGAGGCATCATCGGGGAGTAATTTGGTGATATAAAGTCATGAACAGAAGCACTAAACTATGCTCAGAACTCTGACAGTCACAGTACTGCAGAATAACTTAATTTTCTGTTTATTATCCGTCTTTATAATCCTGTTTACCATCATAGGAATTAATGAGTAAATAAAATGTATGCAGGATTCTTTTCTAAGTTAACGTACCATTATAAGCGTTAACATTTTAGACGTGAAAAAAAAAAAGAGCGAGAGAAAATAATGAAACAATAAACACATTCTAAGATAAACAAAGGAGATCTGAAATATCCCCTGCATAATATCTTTAAATAGACACAGAACAAATCAGAACAGCTTCAGGCAACCCCTATTTAACCCCTAAAGGACCAAACTTCTGGAATAAAAGGGAATCATGACATGTCACACATGTCATGTGTCCTTAAGGGGTTAAGCTCTTTGAAGATTTTTCTTTTTCTTTGTCTGTTAGGCATACATTCCTCTTAATATGGAAGAATCCTTTCTATCCCTTTTGCACATTTGGGAGTTGAGAATATGTTTGTTATGCAATGAATGGAAAGGGAGATGAACTGTGCAGGGAAAAGAGGATCAAATCAACGCAGATCAAAAATGGTAATTTAGCTACATTTTTGTTTTATCCTAATCCGATTGGGTCACGTGGTACGTTAAAGCAGTTCAGGAGTGGTGCGTAATAGGCATTGCTCAAATTTTAAGATTTTTTTTTCATCCTGTAATAAGTGCTCTTTTTATATAATGGATTGGATGATGCATGGCATTAGACATCTTAAAGAATAACACCCACAGTTTTGAGATTAAAACGTCTGCATTTTCTTTTGAAACCCATGCAAAATTAATTTAAGCAAGCATCATTGGTTAGGCTCTGACACAATACTTTAAGATGCCATCTACAAAGTATGTGCATGCATAATTCTTAGCACAGATTACTTTTTCAGTACAACGGGATCAAATATGCTAGTAATGTCTGTAAGATAATAGAATCTACAACATAAAATATAAAATAAAATATAAAGTCTGTCAACAGGAATCAGAATTCTATAATATTGTATTCACTAAACATTAGGGTTAATAACTAAACTGGTAAATGTGCAGAATTGACAAGAGAATTGCAAATTCCAGAGCCAAACAGAAAAATTTAAAATATTCCTCTATTCAGCTATTTTCTCGTATTGGTTATTCAGGACTATAACTTTTGCAATTGCTCTGTTAGTTCTACACAATTTTCCAATTGGTGAATAAATACAAATAAAGTTGCAGTGACTTGAGAATTCATTTGAAAAATGTATTCTAGCCAGCCTACTTAGATAGTATTTACAATTCTGCCCGAACAGTTTTTTTTTTTATTTCAGACCAAAGTTAAGTCTTAAGTTACCGCAACTTGACGCTAATAAGCTGAGATAGAAAAAAACCAAAGAATAATGTTGCATCAAAAAACAGTTGCAATAATGAATAATAATTTTTATTATTTTCACATTGACCACCAAAATAAATATATTGAATAAAATTGCTATGTGATAAGTAACGAATAAAAATACATATAAAAAGTATTCATTTTAGAAAACACATAATGAAATAATACCTTACCTGTATTTAAAACGTGAGATCTGTCAAAATATGTGACTATATATGAGCAGTTCTGAAAATTGCAGTTCTGAGATCACTAGTTGAAATTTACTAACATTTCACTACTGGTGCATACTGTAGTAAATAGTTGTTAAAATCTAGTTTTTTTTGTTTTTGTTTTTTTAAAGGGACACTATAACCACAACAGCTTAATGTAGTGTTTCTGGTGTCCATAGCATGTGCCTGCAGGCTTTTCAGAGAAAAGGCAGTGTTTATATTGCTGCCTAGTAACACCTATAAATAAGTGCAGTCACTCAGACTGCTACTAGAGGTGCTTTTTAGTCCAGTGCTGCACTGTGTGCAGTGCCTACATTCAGTGTCTTCACGCTCTGCATGAAGATGCTGAACTCTCCCTATAGAAGTGCATTGATCCAGTGGATCTCTAGGAGAAGATGCTCATTGATTGGCGCAGCATTTTGCTGCACATGAGCAAGAGGCACTGCTTTCACACACACGCACCGTGGCATGCCTTACAAATGCAATCCTGCACACACACACTGGCTCTAACGCACACAGTCTCTTACACACTTTTACTGCTTATACACACTCACTGGCTCTAACAGACACACACAAACAGTCTCTTACACACACTGCTTATACACACTCACTGGCTATGACACACACACAGTCTCTCACACACTCACTGGCTGTAACACACACACACAGTCTCTCACACACACACACAGTTTATAGACACACCACACACACACTAACTAACTCTTACACGCACACACTAACTCTTACATAAACACAGACACATACTTGCTCTAACACACACACTTGCTCTAACACACACACATACACACACATACACTAACTCTTACATACACACACTGGCTCTAACACACACATATACACACTAACTCTTACACACACACTAACTCTTACGTACACACACTGGCTCTAACACACACACACACACTAACTCTTACACACACACACTGGCTCTAACACACACGCACACTAACTCTTACACACACACACTGGCTCTAACACACACACACACACTAACTCTTACACACACACACTGGCTCTAACACACACACACACACTAACTCTTACACACACACACTTACTGTTTCTTATAGTTGCTAAACAGAGGTCCCGCTGCATTGTTGTAGCTTTCCTCCTCTCTCCACAGCAGTTGGCCGCCAGGATATGATGTCATGTATCCCAGCGGCCTGTAGCTCAGGAAGAGATTTGCCGCGGTCCCTCCTCGCTGTTCCGCCCCCTTCCCTTAGTGGCTGCACGTTTCCTAGCTAGCTGGATAGATTGCTGCAGAAATTGACCGGCGGGAACGGAGTTCTCCGTGCTCCCGCCGGTCACTCAGACATTTTTGCGCCCCTCGGGTCCGTGCGCCCTAAGGCGGCCGCTTGTGTTGCCTTATGGTAGCGCCGGCCCTGAGTACAGAACTGAAGCACTAGCAGAGACCACTGGGCAACCAGGGGATCAGCATTCCCCCTCCCTGGACAAAGGTATGCAAGAGGGAGGGGGGAATCAACTTTAATTTATTTTAATAAATAAAATCATTTATAGTTAAAAAAACAAACAAACATGAAATTGCTCTCCCACCCTCTCCTACCCACACTACATCAATACCCCCCACACTTTGTGCCCTATCCCACCCCACACTATGTACCCTATCCCACCCTATGCTATGTGCCCTACCCCACAGTATGTGCCCTATCCCACCCCACACTATGTGCCCTATCTCACCCATGCTATGTGCCCTACCCCACAGTATGTGCCCTATCCCACCCCACACTATGTGCCCTATCTCACCCTATGCTATGTGCCCTACCCCACAGTAAGTGCCCTATCCCACCCCACACTGTGTGCCCTATCTCACCCTATGCTATGTGCCCTACCCCACAGTACGTGCCCTATCCCACCCCAGACTTTGTGCCCTATCTCACCCCACACGATGTGCCCAACACACACTACATCCGTAGTCCACCTCACTCTGTATTCCCAAAGACCAGTTTTAAAGGGGCACTCTAGGCACCAAGTCCACTATGGTTTAATGTAGTGGTTCTGGAGCAAAGAGATTGGCTATGTAGGCTCAGCAGTGTAAACACAGCCTTTTATGAGTAAATGCAGTGTTTACATTGTGGCCTAATGACATCAATAGTGGGTCTTCCTGGTTGCAGTTCTGCAAAGGAATACAGGAGCAATATCGATGTAAACACGCTCTGCATGGAGAAGCTGAACGCTCGCCATAGAGATGCATTGAGTCAATGCTTCCCTGTGGGGAAGCATTGGATTGACTGAGAATATCAGTACTAATGATCTCAGTTAGTGGAGGCAGGGCAGATGCAGAGAGACATGCGCTTCTTCAACTTAATCAAGGGGGCCCGATAATATAAATTGCTACTCCTAATGCTAGAGTGTTCCTTTAAATAGGTTTTTCCCAAATCTATAAATATGCTTGCAATTCTGCTAGCACAATATAGAGATAGAATTTAATGTTCTTTAAAAATAAATAAATCAGAAGTTGTGGGTACCATAACAGGTGCAGTTTAGCACAATTTATGTGAGTAAAATGTATATACATGTTTACTAATATGTGTGTATTATTAATATATGCATTATTATGCCTACAATAGTTATACATGTATTTATACACATGTGTATATGCATAATATGCCTAGAAATTAATGGAGACTTTGCACGTTTTATACAGTGGAAAGTTTTGGATGAGGTGGTGTGGCCATGGAGGGGCACTGTGAAGAATTTTCACACAGAGCCAGCCCCGGCGGTATGCATGTCATGTCATATTTACACATACATACGCACTGGCATGCCTTTCACATTCATTGCTGCACATACTCTCTACCCGAATACACCCATAGCGCTGCCTTTGCACACAAAATGCACACCAGCATATTTACAATCCGTATAAAACACCACAGCAGTTAGACAGACATATTTCAGTTACACAAGTACACATGCATTCACAAACATGTACAACATACACAAAATTTTCATGTATTTGTATACTTAAATGCAACACTGAATTCACACAATGCTAGTATACTCACTCTTACAACACACACACTCCACACGTGCATTTAGGTACTTGCCTTCTTACTACATGCATGTATACCAGACCTGCACAACTTATGGTCCGCGGCCGCTTGCGGCACACCAAATGATATCAGAGGGCCTGCGAGGAACTACCGCGGGTGCAGCCACTGTGCTGCACCGGGGCCCGTTCAATTAGGAGTTCTATCTTAGGGCCACCCGATGGACATGTGTCAGTAGGGTACCGGTCGAGTGCTGTGAGTTGCCGCGAGTCACCGG